GTTAAAATTTGATTTTTGCCCATCGGATGGGTATGAGATGGAATTTAATTGTGGTTTTAATTTGCATTCCCTTATTACTAGTGAAGTCAAACATCGTTTCATATGTTTATGGGTACTTCTAAGTTTCCTTTTCTCTCTTGGATTATTTTTCTTATGAACTGTAGGAGTTCTATATATTCTCCCTAAATATTCTGAATACTAATTCTTTGTCAGTTGCATGCAAGGCAGAGATTTTTTTGCATGCCTGGGCATGATTTTTAACTTTATTTATGTTATCTTCTGAACCGCAGAAATCTTCAATTTTAATGTAGTTTAACTTATCATACTCTTCCTTTAATATATTATGCATTTTCTTTATGAAGTCATTCCCTAAATCAAGGTCATAAAGACATTCTCGTATTTTCTTTTATAAAAGTTTTCAAGTATTGCTTTTATACTTGGGTCTTTACCTGGAATTTATTTTGGGTGTGAGATAAGGATGCTATTTTCTTTTTTTCTATGTGAGTAAACATTTGCCTCCTGAGTAGGAGTCAGACACTTTTCTGTAAAATGCCAGATAGTAAATATCTCAGATTTTGTGGACCATATGACAACTACATAGCTACTTAACCTTTCTGATTCAATTTCTCCAAGTGAACATTAGGAATAATAAAAGTACCTACTTCATAAGAATGTTGTAAGGATGAAGTAATCGATTATGCAGCAAGTTAACAAATGGGTAGAGGTGTGCTCCAATATAACTTTTTTTTACAAAAACAGGTGGCAGGTTGAATGTGGCACATGGGCTGTAGTTTGCCAACCCCTGCTCAAGACGAATCTCTCATTCAGTGCAGGCAATATACAAGGAATTAGTAAATTATATCTATACACACATGTGTGTGTGTGTTTGTGTAATTTATGTAAATGTATATTTAATATATTAATATATAAGTATGTAATATAATAAATACATAGTATAAATTTATTCATTTATATTTTCTGCTAATCCCAGAGAAATTAGCTACCTTCATTCTCTTATTTATTTATTGGGCCGGCTGGCTAGCTGAGTTGGTATAACACCGAGGTCAAGGGTTTGGATTCCCAACCATCCAGCCACCCAAAAAAACCCCAGGCATTTATTTATTTAATTGACACATTGTAATTGAACATATTTGTGGGGTACAATTTGATGTTTTGATACGTATATATGTTGTATAATGACCCAATTAAGGTAGTTAGTATATTCATTATCTCATGCATTTATCATTTCTTTGTGATGAGAACATTCAAAGGCTTCTCATTTAGCTATTTTGTAATATACAATATTTTACTGTTAACTGTAGTCATCCTACTGTGCAATAGAACACTGGAGCTTATTCCTCCTATCTAATTGTAATTTTATACCCATTAGCCAACCTCTTCCCACCCTCTTCTCCTCCCCTCCCCAGTTTCTGGTAACCACAGGTCTACTCTCTGCTTCTATGATATCAACTGTTTTTTTAGATTCACAATGAATGAGATCATGTGGTATTTGTCTTTCTGTGTCTAGCTTACTTCATTTAACATGATATCCTGTGGATTCATCCATGTTGTCACAAATGATAGGATTTCATTCTTTGTTATAGCTGAATAGTATTCCATTGTGTATATATACCACTTTTTCTTTATCCATTCATCCATTGTTGGACACTCAGGTTGATGTCATATCTTGGCTATTATAAATAATGTTGCAATAAATATGGGAGTGCAGATATCTCTTTGACATACTGATTTAATTTCCTTTGGATAGATACCACATAATGGGATTGCGAGATCATATGTTAGTTCTAGTCTTAATTTTTTGAGGAACCTCCATACTGTTTTTTATAATGACTGTACTAATTTACAATTGCTCCAACAGTATGTAAGTGTTCTCTTTTCTTCACATACCCACCAATAATTGTTTTCTTTGTCTTTTTGATAATAGCTGTTCTATCTGGAGTGAGATGATATCTCATTGGAGTATTGATTTGCAGTTCCCTGATGACTAGTGATTAGTTTTTTCATATACCTGTTGGCCTCTTGTATATCTTCTTTTGAGAAATGTCTATTAAGGTCTTTTGCCCATTTTTTAATCAGGATTTTTTCTTCTTTTTTTACTGTTAAGTTCCTTATACATTCTGGGTATTAACCCCCTGTCAGATATATAGTTTGCAAATATTTTGTCCCATTCTGTAGGTAGTCTCTTCACTCTGTTAATAGTTTTCTTTGCTATGCAAAATTTTTTTAGTTTGGTATAATCCCATTTGTCTGTTTTTGCTTTTGTTGCCTGTACTTTTGAGGTCTTATTTAAAAAATCTTTTCCCAGCCCAGTGTTGTGAAACATTTCCACTACGTTTTCTTCTAGTAGTTTCATAGTTTTGGATTTTACATTTAGTTCTGTAATACGTTTTGAGTTGATTTTTGTATATGATGAGAGATAGGGGTCTAGTCTCATTCTTCTGCATGTGGATAATTCATTTGCTCAGCACCATTTATTGAAGAGACTCTTTTTCCCCTAATGTGTATTCTTGGCACCTTTGTTGAAAATTTGTTGGCTGTAGGTGTGTGAATATATTTCTGGGTTCTCTATTCTGTTCCATTGGTCTATATGTCTGTTTTTTGTGCTAGTACCATCTGTCTTGGTTACTGCAGCTTTGTAGTATATTTTGAAGCCAGATAGTGTGATGCCACTAGCTTTGTTCTTTTTGCTGAGGATTGCTTTGGCTGTTTGGGGTCTTTTATGGTTCCATATGAATTTTAGGATTGCTGTTTCTATTTCTGTGAAGACTGTCATTAGCTTCTCTCATTCTCTTTAATAAAAACTATTGTTTCCTCCTGTACACATTAATGATTCAGTCAGCAATTTTCTTTATTGAACCTCCATATACTCTAGTAATATAAAGTTTACTATGTAACTTGTTCCACTTATAGATAGCCTAAATTGTTTGGTTTTAAAGTATTTTAAAGTTCTGTCTTTTGGTCTTTTGTTCTTTAGCCTAACACTCTGAAGCAATGTATTATAAACTTAGTGTCTCCTGACATGAACCTTTGTCTTAAGTTTATATCTATCACCCTCCCTCCTCAGGAAAAACAGTTCTTGGTTTTACAGGATTCTCTTATATGACATTGTCTCCAGCTGATTCTCATTCATTCAATCAGATGTTGAATGTCTATTTTTTAAGCTAGTCACTTTGCTTGGCACTGAAGATACAAAGGTAAACAAGTTCTTCTGAAAATAGGGCATCTGAAACAGAACACACTGCCGAAGTGGCCTGACCCATTCAGGTCCAGTGGGATGACTTTCTCTCTTGGTCTGTACGTTATGCTTTTAGTAATTGAAGCTGATATCATGCTGCCTTTTTACCTTTCCCTTCATCCCCCTAAACCAAGGCTCTTATTATCTCAAAGTAAGTTTGGCAGATATTAGGCCCTATTGTATTTGTTTTCTTCAAATGAGGAAATTTAGACTCAGAGTGGTAAGAAAGTTGCCCAAGGCATAACTGAAAATCAAATCCAGGTCTTATAACTTCCAAGCCCAGGATTCTTTCTAATATTCCATGCTTCCTCCACACCCAAAACAAGTTCTCCCAATCAAACTTTATATGATTCTAAAACAATCTTTGCCAGTGAAACACGAAGGAAGAATTGGTGGCATGCAAAAGACAATAGGGCTTTAAGTACAACCTCTCTCTGACAGATGTCCAAAGGCATTTAAAATTCACTCCTTTGGAATGGGAACATTTCTCCCTATGTTTGGACAAGCCACTCACCTTCCTGTAAAAGATGTCAGACCTAAAACGACAGCCCACAGCAGTTTGGGACCCAAGGTAGATGCTTCCCCCGTGCCTTACTTGCCAGAATAGTAAAATGTAGCAGACTCTTGGCATAGACTCTGGACCTAGGGTATGCTTCCTCCTGCACATACTAAGTGTTCCCAACACCTGAGGGGCCACAAATAGTAATAATGAAACTGTTAAAATCTGCTAATAGCAGACATTTATTGAAAGTTTACTTTGTGCCAGGCAATGAATTATTTAGTCTATTATGTAATACTCACAGCATCCTCATGAGTTAGGGACCAATATATCCCTGGTTTTCACTTGGAGAAACAGAGTCAGAGAGGTTAAGTAACTTGCGTATAGTCAGCGAATAGGTGATAGAGAAGTGCTCTTAACCACCATGCTGTACTTGCCAACTTGTCCAAAACCAGGGAACATTAACCCCTCTAATCCCAGGTTTTGTTTTTTTTTTAACTACTTCAGAAGTTTGAAAATTAGAGAATCCTCTTACTTTAAATGGGTCAAAGAAAAAATTTATCTGACCCCAAAATTGAAAGCATCCCAAAGGTCTTTATATTCCTGATATTCTAGAAAATACTTACACATATCACCTTAGTATTTGAATAGCCCTTTAAAATATTTTGCCTCTATTTGTGTATGTCTCTATCTATACAGACAAGTCACTCAACACACTTACCTTCTGATTATTGGCCTTACTGAAATTGCACTGAAATTTTCCTTGACAAGCCACAAATGGCCTCATAATTGGTAAATGAATGTCCAGTTTTTCATCTTTATTTCACTTGATATACCTACAATAGGAGACTTAAATAATTTATTTTAATTTTTATTTCCTTCTTCATATATCTTCTTCCTTCTTTAAAAGGTTTATTATATTTTTAAAAGCCAGAACATAAGAGTGTCTTGGTAATGGTACAATGCTAAAAAAAATATAAAGATTATTGTGCTTATTGGGAGTCTAGATGAAAAAGAAGATATATGTGAAAAGTTGAAGAAAAATTTTAAGAACAGCAAATACATACTATTTTTTCTTGTGAAAAGAAAATATTCTTGTTAATTAAATATTTCTTCTTTTCAAGCATGGTTCTTGACTTAGACACATGCTGTGCTTTCCAGAAATAAGTGGTTTAGGCTCATGGCCATGTTTAATGGGCTAGGAATGTCCAGGTGAGAGGAGTGATCTCTGGTGTTCTCTTCTAGGTATTCACTCTACTGTGGATTGCTGATTGGATGGTCCATCACTTCTGGAGGAAAGGAAAGGACCCAGATAGTTTCTCCATCCCCTATCTAACAGCATTGGGTGATCTGCTCGGGACAGCTTTGTTAGCCTTAAGTTTTCATTTTCTTTGGCTTATTGGAGATCGAGATGGAGATGTTGGAGACTAACAAATCCTACAAACTGCTCTCAAATTACCAAGGAGGAAAACACAAAACAACCACTTACAGCTCTTTTTCAAAACTCAAATCAGTAGTTTGACTTCTGCCAGGGTAATCTTCACTTGGCCCTGGTTCAGTTATATGGCCTTAACATTTTTTTAAGGAATTTGTGTTGAAACCAGAATGAACAGTATTTGCTCTGCTTTTCATAGAATAAACGATAATTTGACATAGACATAGATACAGCTCAAGATCTGAAATTAATTAAATAAGAAACAATATAGGTTGTTTACAATGTGAAATAATTTTGAAACCACAAACATAGCCGAAATGTGCTTTATTATTGTTTGGCTTATAATGCAAGGTTAGAGGAAACAGCTCTAGTTTAGCCTTTTTTTTCTCACAGATGTGTTGTACTGCAGAGCATACTATAAAATGAAGGGTGCCCAACCAAACTTTTATAGTTTTAATTGTGCCCACTTCTGTGCTAGCTGAGGATAAATTTACCAATTACTTGTTCCTAAATTGACCTAAATATGTTCTGCTGAGCATAAGATAAACTGACTTTTACCTGCATCTGAAATTATCCTGTGCTACTGCTAATTTAATTCCAGCTCTGCAAGTTTTTGGCAGGCTAACTTTTAAACATAGAATGATCTTGAGAGACCCTTAATGAAAGCAGTGGGTCATTTTTGACCATTAATTTGTTGAAAAAGTGTTGATCATTTTCAGAAAACTTAATAGTCAAAAATAGAAGATAACCTAATCTGCATTTGTAGAAGCAAGATGGTATGGGAAATTGTGTGTGTGTATGTGTGAGAGAGAGAGAGACAAAGAGGGAAAGAAGCTTTTGGTGGAGAACTATACTTGGATTGTTGGTAGCAGGGATTATATGCCATTGGAGTATCAGCATTATAATTATTCTTAAACACATTTTATTGATATGCTTTTATCATTTGGTCCAAAAATTTTGCTACTGACCAGAATTCAAAAGTACTTGTTACCTATATTATGATTAATAGTTACTGGTTATTAAAAAAAAAAAAAGCTGTACCATTTAATATAATTAAGGTCAAGGATTTAGCATGAGCAAGTGATTCATTTGCTCCTTTAAAGAAGCCTACTACTTACCCTTTTAAAAGAGAAGTTGGTGGGTTATGTCAATTATTGTTCATGCCTATACCTACCTATTTGCACAGGCTTATTTGTACATGGGACCCTATCGTATACACTGCTATCTTTCTTAAATATTTTTCTAAAACTCTACCCTATATTCTAAACACTTGACCAACACCTTAATTTTTCAGTAGGTAAGCATTTTGTATCACATACAGTTCATTTAAAAAATGCAGTGCCATCTCTTAAGACCATTAGGTATTTAATAATTTAAACTGATAAGGGAATAACAAATATACATTAACTTTGACCATTATGGTTTAAGTTGTGAGTTGAGTGTTATTATATAAACAGTAGGTTGTTTATAAATATATTGGAGGAAGTATTCTTATTAAGCTCTTAAAAATAAGGGGGCTGTGATTTAGAGTTATATATTTTTGCTTACTTTTAAAGTTTAATTATTCCATTCTTCTGCCATATAATGAAGTTTCTAAGGCAGAAAACTGAACTAATTATAGAATTTCTCCTCTGGAGAGTTATAGTATCATATAGTGAACATTCTTGTAAAAGAAAGAATGATTAAGTTTAAGTTGATAAATATTCAGCTGCAAAGATTTTTTATTTTAAAAAGTTCATGAATAATATCTTTGATTTTACTATAAAGCATTTATAAGTTACTTATTTACTCTTGGGCTGTATGATTCATAAACATTATATTTCCCAATGATTTCTATCTTGATTTTTTTAACACACACATGCAAAAAAATGCACAGCAAGCCACATTTTTAAAGCATTAACCAATAATGTTAGTCTTGTGCATTACATATTCCAAAGCACATTCAGATACACTATATCATTTAGTACTCACAACAATGCCTGTAAAATAGGTCAGGTAGATATTCCTGTCTCTATTTTACAGCACAGCAAGCTGAAACTCAAAGAAGTTAACATTTTTAAGGTTGTACAACTGCAAAGTTACCGAGTTGTGAAGTTCCTAACATTTAGGTCTTCATTCTCCTAGGCCGATACTCTATCTGCGATGCTCCAAATGTACCAAGAGTACCTAACTAATTAACTGAGAGGAAGCCAGCTAGAGAAACAGGATTTTCTAGAGTAACATAGAGTATTACTACATGTTTTAGATTTCAGACAGAGAAACCTCCATTTAATATATATTGATAGTGAGTATGACCAACTCTAAATTATTCATGTTACTAAGACCAAAGGAAACACAGATGAATGAAAACTTTAGAATAAAGAATAATGCCTTATTTCATAAAACATTTAATTGCCACCTCTTTTCCTAGATCTAGCCATTTGAAACAGATGCTAATAAATAACTAGGATGACTCACTTGAGTTCTGTCTCCTTTCTTTTTTGCTACTCATCCTTGGTTAGAGCAACAAAATGTCTAAAAGGCATGTAATAGGGGAAAAAGTCAATTATAAAAAATATGTAGATTCCTTTTAAAAAATGATTACTGGTCTTTTGAAAGCCTTACATAGTGTGTAACCAATAAGATTACTTATTTTATTTACCCACAAAAATCATTTATTATCAGTCTTATATAATGTAAACCCATAGTATTTGTATTTACACAACATAAAAACTACTGCTTTCCAAACTTCTCTCTTTCACAAATTTATCAGACACTCTATTTATACACAGATAACCTTTTTTTTTTCCTTTTTGTCTTTTTTACTGACCAGTAACGGGATCGCAACCCTCGGTGTTGCGCGCGCACCGTGCTCAGCCAGTGAGCGGGAACCGGTCTCCACATGGGATCCGAACCCTCGGTGGGAGCGCCGCTGCACTCCCAAGCGGCGCACTCTCCAGTGCACCACCGGGCCGGCCCCACAGATAACCTTTTTAAAAACACATTTTTCATTCTTGCCCACCAACCATTTTTTTTTTTCTTTCAAAAAGCAAAATTTCTTAGAAATCTGATAAAATGGAAACTCATGGTAACGTATCTTCTGGGAGACATAAAAAAATTCCACACCATAGATTATGAATGATGTAGCCAAATGAAGTACATTTTATAAAGTCTTTTCAGTAATTGGGCTTCCTTGCCTGACATCTATGATATAGTATTCCCATTTGTAATGGGCTTCTGCCATCTTTGAATTGTTGTAAAGTAAAATAAGAATAAAATTTAAGAAATATTTACCCAGCCTTGTTGTGCTTGCTTCTTGATGAACTAGAGAACATTGAACCTGTGTAGAAATCTCCCAGAAGAGACTGGGGTGATCTATGTATATATGGTGTATTTATGAAGTATAATAAATAATACCTAGACCTCCAATCCATTGCTTTACCATTTTTTGACTGTAAAATATTCTCCTCATTTCCTCACTCCTCGTTATTCAGCTTAGATTCCTCCGTCCATCAGTCTATGCATCTGCATCTCCCTCATTCATACTTGCCCGACAAAACACCAGTTCTGGTTAAATACAGCTCTGTCTGTTCTTTGCTTGTACCTGAGCAGCTAAATGTGGCTCATGAAAAACACATAACTGCTGTGATAAATCTTTAAATTTATAGCCTCAGACATCAGATTAACCCTCAACAGTCCAGCAGCAGCCTAACTATATTTCTCTAATCACTTCACTTTTTGGGAGATGAGGCTTTTGTCCCCACTGCTTCACTGAAAGTGTACCTGTCAAGGTCACCAGCAGTCTCCATGTTGCCAAATTCAATGATCAGTTCACAAAAACAATTCTTACCTTATTCAGTCTCTAAAAGCATTTGACAGATTCTCCTCTCTCCTTGGAATATTTTCTTTACTTAGCTTCCAAGAGTCAGCCCTTTGCTTTTTCCCTACCTTTGTCGAAACCCTTTCTTAGTGTGTTTTGCTGGTTATTCCTTCTATCTCTAAATGTTGGAAGACTCTAGGCTCCATTTTTAAAACCTCTTTTTTTCTACTTACTTTTTCTAGATCATATTACTTATCTCATTGTTATAAATATCATCTATACTGATTATTCCCAAACTTATTTCTTGAGTCCCAGCCTCTCAATTGAGTTCCATATCTGTATTCCCAAATGCCTGCTGGACAACTCCATTTGAATGACCACTAAGTATCTCAAACATTTGAGCATCATTATCATCCACCTTGACCTAACTGACATCTATAGACCACTATATCTAACTACCGCAGAATACACATTAAGGGCTAATCTCCATAATGTACGAAGAAGCTAATCTCCATAATGTACAAAGAACTTCTGTAAGTCAGGAAGAAAAAGACCAATAACCCAATAGTAAAATAAAATAGCTGAAGAAGAGATGGTTCATAGGGAACAAACCAACCAACCAAATAGATGTTCAATACCTCTCAAACTAAAGGAAATGCCAATTAAAATCACGCTGAGATACTACTTCTTCTTTTTTTTTTTTTTTTTTTTTTTCCTTTTTGTCTTTTTTCGTGACCGGCAACGGATTGCAACCCTCAGTGTCGCACCCGCACCGGACTGGGACCGGCTACGGGATCGCAACCCTCGGTGTTGCTCCCGTGCCTCGCTCAGCCAGTGAGCGGCCGCTCTGTATGTGGGATCCAAACCCTCGGCGGGAGCGCCACCACACTCCCAAGCAGCGCACTGTAGCAGTGCGCCACCGGGCCGGCCCCTGAGATACTACTTCTCACCTATCAGATTGGCAGAAATTCAAAACTGGATAAAACATCGTCTTGGCGAGGCTGTAGAGAGACAGACAAAATTGCTGGTGGCAAAAGCTCTGCAGAGGGGAATCTGGCCATATATATAACAAAATTATAAATGCACTTATCATTTGATCCTGTAATCTCACTATTATCACCTTGAGAACCAAGCAAGTGATGCCCCTGCCCTTGGCCCTCTGCTGCATGATTTTCAGCAGAATTTGGCAAACTACAGCCAGCAGGCCAAATTCAGTTCACTGCCTGTTTTTGTAAAGTTTTATTAGAATGAAGCCATGCCCATTCATTTACATACGGTATGTGGCTGCTTTCTCTCAACACATAGAATTGAATAACTGTAAAGGAGACCATATAGCCTGCAAAGCCTAAAATATTTACTATCTGGCCCTTTACACACACACACACACACACACACACACACACACACACACACACACACACACTCCACCCACTCCCGCTTTAGAGCGAATTGCTCAAAGTTTATTTTTAAATCTCCTGGTACCTGGACTAACTGGGGTCAGCAGTGCTATCTAGGCAGGGTACCCCAACCTGAAACTGGTCCTGTATGGTCTCTGGTTGCCAGAAGCACCTACCTCACAGTTTTTTAAGTCACCATCCAAGGCCTGGGACTGTTCGAGACTGACAGTGGGCCCCAATTTCTGTTTCTCCACTTCAGAGCCCTTTCTAACCCTTGTGTGGGTCAACTAGATGTCAAAGATTCACACCTATGGGTAGTTTCAGGATTCCTAGTCAGCCCCAGTTCCAGGAAGTCAGCTTGGTGAACCGA